CATTGATTGATCCACAAGGCCCAAGGACCTCATTACTTCAAATAAAAGTGATCCCATGAGCATCATGCCTACTTTATATTATATCATATAACACTATTTTATGTGAAGCCAACCTGTATGCAAACAAAACCATACATTAAATTAAACACTCAGCGTTATCATCTTTGAAATTAGTAAGTATCCACCTTCCTCAAAACACAGTTTCCTATACATGGAGAGATATAATATTCACTTATATTGTTGGAATGTTTAATAATAAATACTGTGCTCAATTATTTGATTTTTCCTACTTTTATATCAAGATTTTCAAAATATTTTTCAAATGTAAAGAAAAATGAACAAAATTGACATCATCCAGCACTTTCTTTTTAGACTATTTTTAACTTTGATTAGCTCGATATTTATAAGATAAAAAATTAAAGAAGTAAATGAATGAAACAAATTTATGTTAAAATTAAATTGTGCTTTTATATCTTTTTAAGAAGCTTTCTCAATTATTTTTTATATAATATAAAAAGGCATTTTATTTAATTTTCTTTAAGTAATTTTGTTAAAATTTCCTTCAACTAAGCTTTAGTGTGAACACTTGACGTACATAAAGTCTTCGAACTAGATCTATAATTCAAAACTATCATAATTAAAAACTCTATTAATTCACATGTTTGATGAAGATTCGTTGTCTCTTTCTTCTTCTTCTGATAGGCCAAATTAATTAGTATTCCTCGTGTAATTCGGTGTGCTATTAGGATAGGCTGGTATCACCAAATTTTTGTATATCATTGGAAAAAAAAAACAAATTTTCGTAAATTCAATAGCCTCAAAGAATAGATATTTTAAGCTAACAAAAACCACCAATTTACAGTTTTTAGAAGTTAATAACTAGATAGAATAAATGAATAGTAACTCAACTTTGCTACTGAATGCGAAGTTCATGGTACAAATTTGTACTTGGTTGAATTCAACTTGCAAAAGTTGACATTTCGTTGACAATTATTACTAACCCGTTAGTATTTCTATATGAAAAAGTTTTCGCACCAAAAAAACATTATCATGATAACAAAATGCCACTTCCTTCTGGAAATATATGTCGAACACACACGAATAATGCACCTCAGTAATTTGGGAATAAATTTTAAATACAACTAAATTTTTACTCGATCAATATACTGAAATAAATTCTAGATGAATATATTATAAGGTAAATGGTAATGAGTGACCTTAAAGCACTAGTTAAGAAAATTAAGGAAAATTTTTTGATAAAAAAATAATAAATACACCTCTGGTATGATTTTTGCTACAATCTAACATAAATTTCAATTAAAACTTGTAAAATTTTAATTCCCTATTCAACATTCTTAGAGCACTAGTTAACAAGAGTCATATTATAAATATGTGAATCTTGTAAGGGTATAAAAAAACTTGATATAAACTATCATGTTAAGAGTCCTAATTAGCAAGACCCATATTATAAATATGTGAATCTTGTCAATGGTATCAAGAAAACTTGATATAAACTATCGTTAAAAATATAGTTTGATGTGTGCTTATACGATACTAGGGTTTTAAAACACATCATATTTGTAATAGGAAAATTACAATATTATGGATTTTGTGGTGTCTAAAATGAAATTCAACGTAGTTTATACATGTTATGCTTTGCAGCAATCCAATTCAAATGTGACACTTGGTTCATGACAACACAGGACCAACCAAAAACACATTTTCTTAAAACAAATAATAATTCGTATTAAAAAGAAAGAGAGAGAGAGAGAGAGAGAGAGAGAGAGAGAGAGGAAAGGGAATCCCACAGGTTGGTTCATCGAGGAACACTGGAAAAAATTAAGCACGATTGTGAAAAATAGAAGAGGCAAAGAAAAGTTTGGATCCAATTCAGCTCCCACATTCAATGCATCAGATTCGGGGTATGACTTCCCCACCAACAAAGATTAAAATAAGAACATGAAAATTGATATTTAAAGGACAAAGGGAATCTCTCCATTTTGTGACGAAGGCTTATCTTCTCTGGATCCAATACCCTCACTTCATTTATAACAATATCCTCATCCCCATGTTAATTATTCCATTGCTTACATTCATATTATTCTACTTTCTTTCTTAATCTTTTTTAAGCCCTTCTCAATTATTGTTGTCAAAATTATTCTATACTATAGTATATCTTTCCTTGTCATTCTTCATTGTGATATTAAATATTAAATCAGGTACAAAGTGGTTGTATACGTTACAATACAAGAGCACTCTTTTCTTTCACAGACTGGCTCTGACATTTTCTTAATTTTTTTTAATTATTGGCTCTTTGATCATTTGGCTTAGATTCTACTAGAAAATTCCACGAGAAAAGTTTAGTGCATGCCCTGAGCCATATTTCATGCTCTTTTTTCTTTTTTGCATTGAAATACTTGGCATTCTTTTATTTGGGGGAGGGCATGAAATAATTTACTTTTATAATAGTTCTCTTATTGGACCTCCAAAGATCCACAAAAGTTGGTGTTGTTTTATCATCACATGGAGGAAGCATTGAGTTAGGATTGGATTGTGATTTAGAAATAAGGAACAACAGACAAGAATCTGAAAGTTTGATTGCATTGTTCTTTTGTTCCTAGGAGGAATCTGTTTAGTTCGGAGGTAATAAAAATAAAATTTCTCGAAACAACAATCTGTCCATGTGTTTGGTGAATAGACCTTATATTCTCATCATCCATTGAGTTTAGGAGGGAATGGAATGTTTATAATTGGCTGCTCTCTTTATGTAAATAGAAGTAAAATGCCCTCTTTTTTATATTTTTGGAATTAGTGTTATTGTGCAATCGAAGTTTGAAGGTTTAAAATTAAATGGGCTAATTAGCTGGCTAGGGAAAGATATTGCATGCACACCAACTGATGGGAAAGACAGCTAGAGAGCCAAACAAAAGAAAAATCTCTATATATTGCTGTCTAGTCATGCCTTTCCTTTTATTCCACATTGCAACATCAAAGACTAAAATGACATTAGGATAAAAAAAAATGGTGTGACGCGTTACATTATTGATTTGGAAAATTAAGCTGAAAAGAGGGGGTGGGGGGAACATCTCTTTTGGTCGGATAGGATAGGGTTGCTTTTATTTTTGTTGGTCAAAAAGATCATATATATGTTACAAGTCTTGTTTCATGACTAAGATTATCCTTTCAATCAAGGGTACATGGTGGGGTTGTGATTGTGCTTCAGAGGAAATGCATAATTCGGTTGCATGTCACTCACTTCACTTGGTTGGTTGGTTGTTGTGGCGAACCCAAGTGACATAGGAAAGGAAGTGTTGAGTGCCTACTTGGAAATGACCTTTGTGGCAAAGTGCGCCACAACACAGGTCTTCCACTCACACTACAGGCCCAAAAAGACACTAACGGCCATTACCCATTTCATTTTTTTGTACAATCGTGGTACCTATTTTGTTGTATCATGCAGAATTAGCAATACTATTTAGTATAAATGACTGTTTACAAAAAGTTCTACTCATGATTTTGTAGCTAATCATGTACATGAGTGTAGAAATGAGAAAGTTTGGTAAAAAAGATTATACTTTTGTGTATTTCACGAAAACTATTTCGTATGTTCGAACATTTTCTTCCAGCTAATCTATTATGCTCTTAACTCATATCCTTCCTATGGAAGATGTCCACTTTTGATTGGACTTTGCTTACTTAATGTGCAATTAATGTTAATATATTCCTTATCTTCATTATTTATTAGTTTGTTTTACTTGAAGCAAGTTTCATGTCCATTCATCGTATTACAAGATACTATTGTGACTTTTTTGGTGTTGTCAATTGTCATTAAATTTAAGAGACCTACACAATGACAAATTTAAAATGGCTTCGCTAAAGTCTAGACAATATTATTTTTAGGGTATTGGTTGATGGCTTATTTTGATCGGTCTCAAGAATTATGGTGAGATAGTACAATTAAATGATTTTCTTTGACAAAAATATCTTTATTAAAAGTTATAAAATAGTTTAAAAAATGCATTTAAGTATAAAGGTGAGATTCCCATGAATTAGGATATTATTGGGGAAAAAAAAAATTCAATGCTTACTTGATTATTTAGATTACTCCTTCCATCTCCGATAAAGTTAGCAAATATTTATTTTATATTTTAATTTCAAATTACTTCCTTTTTCATTCTATTTCTTGTTTTTAGAGATTTGTGTAAAAAAACAGTAAAAACTATAAAATTGAGTTCACTATTTTCTATGCAATTCCCTAAAAAAGAAAATAAAAAAGTGAAAATAATATATTTTCTAAAACTGAACAACTCCAAAAACTTTTGTACTAGGATTCAGGAAAATAATAAATATCTTAATTAATACAATAATTTTACTAAATTATCCTTATTATTTGCTAAAATATGGCCTGCACAGTATTTAAAAACGATTGCATTCATTATTTATTTGGGGAAATTAAAATAAAAAATATTAATAATTCATTGAAATCTTAAAGCATCAGTTAATATGATTTTTTTTGCTCGCTAAAATGAAAATTTAAACTGAAGGAAGTAACAAATGTTTTGAGACAAACTAAAATACTTAAAGAGACATAATATAGAGGATTAATAACAAATAATTAAAATCATAATAAAAATACCTTAATATAAAATTAAAAATTACACTTTCTAATTTAAATTTCGTGACCCAAGGATGTTTTCATGGGCCTATAACAGCACTTCTGAATTAGTGCCTTTTCTTACTTTTGGGCTCACACGGAAAATCTAGTTTTTTTCACAAAAACGTAGATTTGATTTGTGTTGGGTTGGGTTGGTATATGGGCCCAGAACCCTCTATAACCAGTCTATCTGTGTTGTGTGGCTTGTATGTTTGTGTCCACAGACTTAGGTGACTATTTTATTTTATTTATCATCATAAAGAATCAATTTCAGCCAATCAAAAAATGGTAGCTATCAGCATCTACCTTACTGCTACTAATATCAGAACACAACTTCATCCATAAACCAAAACTCACACATCTTATATAACCAAAGTTTCAGTTTCATTCTTATGGTACCTTTCTGGGTTTCCCACTCACTGTCAGATGTTGGGTGGTGCCCTCTCAGCCCCAACAACTCAAGGCCTCAAGGCAACAACAACAATTCCAATGCCTTATCCTACTCACAGATTATTGTCTACCCATTTTTGTTTCCTTAAGGTACTTTTTCTAATTTGTTGTTCCTGTTTTTCCTTATGTTTGTTCTTGTTATACTATGATTCTCTAGTTTGGTGATAATGGGCACGTGTAAATTCTTTTGAATATTTTTCTAACTTAAATTTTGTTTTGTTAGAACCCAGTATCAAATACTAGAGGATTTTCTTCAAAAGAGAATTGTTTTATCAGAGGTCACCAAATCAACATCAAGAAATTTTTTGGCCTTATATCTGGTCGGGCTCCACGAAACAAAGCAGGTGCTATGCTACTTTGCTGTCAATGCAATTTTCAAGGGCTTAGTCAATTTGAATATAATTATATTAATTATTACTCTAACATTATGCCTTGTGTTTTCTTAGATGAAAATGAGTACTGCATATTATAACATCAATGTTTTCGTGGAAATTTGGAATGTTACCTGTGTGTCATTTGCAAATCTGATGTTGATTATTGTGAGTTATTGACGTGAAAGTTGAATATGCCAAAAGATGAAAGAAAAAAAAAAAAGGGGGGTGTTGAATGTGTAAGGCATGTTATTTCATAATGAGACTTCATAATATTTGCAATTATGTATGAAAGAAGCTAGGAAAGAATGTGAGAAAATAATCGATTGTAGAACTCTCGTTCCAATGTTGCAGGAGTTGCTGTTTCCCCATGCTGTATGCTGCCACTGACAGAAGAGAATGTGGAGAAGGTTTTGGATGAGGTAAGGCCTGGCTTGATGGCTGATGGAGGGAATGTGGCTTTACATGAGATAGATGGCCTTGTTGTTATCCTCAAGCTACAAGGAGCATGTGGATCATGTCCTAGCTCAGCTATGACCTTAAAAATGGGAATTGAAACTCGCCTCCGGGATAAGATTCCGGAAATCATTGAAGTGGAGCAGATACTGGACACTGAGACTGGTCTTGAGTTAAATGAAGAAAATGTTGAAAGTGTATGGATTTTCATTTTCATGCATCATAAATAGCATTTTCATAATTTCATTGGTCCTTTTGGATTTTAACGTAAGGTGTAAAAAAACTAAATGACTGCTTTGTATCATATAAGTGGAACAATAACAAACTATAAATATTTGATCATAGGACTTTAACTTCTGATTCAAATGTTTTTCTTCAAGTTTCATGTATCATACGCATCAATTTGACAACCGATAATTGGTGTATTATGCAAAACCATGAATAATCTTTGCTTATTGATCCCAGACAGCCTGTCATTCTTCATTCACTCAGATAGTTGAATAAACATGTATACTCATAACTAGAATTGAAGATAAATGCTTAATTAACCATATCTCCCATGCCATCTATTTCTAGTGGCTTGTATATTTGTATAAATTCTCTCTAAAACAAATGCATGCATGTATCTATAAGCTGCAGGATTCATGTTACTAGTGAGCACTTGTTGCTACAGGTATAGATTCTAAATCTTATAAGAACATTGTTCACTTTTCAGGTTCTTTCTGAAATCAGACCTTACCTTGTTGGGACTGGGGGAGGAATATTAGAGCTTGTTCAAATCAATGATTATGTTGTCAAAGTTCGGCTAAGTGGACCAGCAGCTGGGGTTATGACGGTTCGTGTTGCCTTAACACAGAAGCTGAGAGACAAGATACCTTCTATTGCAGCTGTGCAGCTGATAGACTGATGTAACATACAAGTTCTTTTATATTTTTGACTCATCTGTTACAAGATGGAATGGAATCATACAACAGAAAGAACATGTAAAATTCTACACGCTAGTTGCTAATGGATATGTTGCCCCCCAAAACATAGGGTCTGATTGGTTTTTGAATGCTTTTATTTCCTATTTTTCACAAATTACAAAAATGCCACTGTACTTTAAGCTTGTTTCTTGTTTTCAAAGATTTAATTAAACAGGGAAGTCTTAAAACAAGAGTTGTTTTCACTGCTATTTATACAAATATTTGAATACAACAAATAAAGTGAAAATTAAGTTACATGGTTATAATTATTCATTAAAACAGACCCTAGATTTTCAGGCTCCTTGGAGTTTGATTGATTTGGAAAACCCATAGAAGAACAAGAAGTAAATGTTTGATCAACTTGTATATCCACACAAAAATAAGATATTACCACAATAACTCTGCAGTATATAAGAGATTATAGTTATGAAGAGAAGGAAAACAATGACTCTAGATACAATTAACATATATGCAGTGCTACCTGGTTATGTTATTTTCTTTATAGCTACCTGGTTATGGCTCTTCTCCAACTCTTTATAGTGCCTAACAACCATCTAAACCAACAATTAGAAAGCACAAATGGCTTCTCTTTTAAGCATAATATCTCAATTTGCGACTAATTGTTAACTCAGCTACTCAACCTATGTATTTTGAAAGTAGTACTATTGACCATCATCATCTCTTGACATTAAATATCCCATAACAACTGTAGCAGCAATACCAAGAAATATAATCAATGCCATAGTGTAAAGCTCCATTATGTGTAGGGTACACTAGGACCTGGTCCTGAAACAAAAAGGAGTTCAGCCCCATTTAACATATGGAATAACACACCAATACTATAGTTGTCTGTACCCATCCAACTTGTCCTGTGAACCTGACCTGATCCGATGTTTAAGATTCGAGTTATAGTTTGAGTTCTTCTAATTCAGTCCCATTGTCTATATATTAATAATAACACTTTAAGACTTAATAGTGATATCATATTTGTATTGATATTATTCATTTTAAAATTATACTACAAAATATACTTTAATTTTAGTTTCATACTTCATTAATTCTATAATTTAACTATATCTCATATTAAGATTATATTTTACTTGATCATAATCTAATATCAACGGTTAATTATGATTGGCTACTTATTTTTATTTAAATTAAAATATTAATAAATATATAAATGCTTTAATTTCAATTTAACCAATTTAATATATAACTCTGAACTTAAATACTACTGAAAAAAATAGTTATACAATTTGTGAATCTAAACGACATTCATAATTATACATATTCCTAATGTTTTCTTTGTTGTACTATGGAATTAATCTTTTCTTTTACATTTTTCAATATCATGATAAAATGCATACACAACATTATTAAGTGAAGAAGATCAAATTCAAATATAGGAGGAGAATCTCTAAACAAATATTACATCACAAAATCATTAATTAGATGAAGAGTCAGCTGGTGAAAAAAAAAATCCAAACATATACAACATAGTAGAACATCCTTAATGAAAGTCAATATTGATTAAAAAGCATAAATATAATACTTTAAAAAAAAAACTCAGAAATCAATCATATGAATTTGAGAAAAAATAAAAATAAATTTCGAACATGGAAGACGTCAAAAGTCACAAAATATATATTTAGAATATAATATAATATTTCATTATGCTTAACATTGATTGTATTTAGCAAATTAAAAAATTGCACATCTCTTCTTTATGATTGTATTGCAACAAACTTAACTTATATTGATATATAAAAAATATCTTTTATTATATACATATTTTTATACAACTCATTTACATAATATTAAGGATGTATTAGTTAACATTATTTTAGTTTCATTTATTTTCAAATTTTGTGGTGCTACTAAGGTGACTTTTGAAAGTTATATAATAAAGAAATTATATTTTCATACAGTAAAAAGTATTAAAATTATATAAATGATAAAAAAATAAAAATCAGAATATAGTATAACATAAAATGGAATGAAATATTTATAGTGTAACACCTTAAATTTAATTTTCAAGTAATAATTTCACAAAATGGGAGTAATAAAATTTTCATTTAATAAAAAATCTCATTACAGAGTTTCATAAAACGGTTCAAAATAATAAAGAATTACAATTTATATCAAAGACTACTACAAAACTAATTCAGTTACATCATAATTTTAAAATACAATATCAGTTCTATAGTAGTTCACCCTTCCTTCACTGAGTCTGGTGCTGATCGTCTTGGTCACCTGAAAAATAAATGTAAAAATGAGTACTCTACACTATCTAACACATATAACTAACATAGAATCTCACCATGCATATCTATAGGTATTCTAACATGTTTTACTCAAGTCTAGGTAATTACAAGCAACATTTCAAGCATTTCATTCCAGTTCATAATTGATATATTCACGACACCATAACAATTTATGCACATGCTCTGACCGTACCTAGCCACGAACATTGTGAAACTGTGATCACAGATTCATACTATGAATGATCGCCAGTCACCCCGCCTCACAAATAATGCGTGGGCAGTCACGGGTCACTCAGCAAAAGTATTGATCAGATGTCTAGTCAGGAGGAGAGTATGTAGCTCGTGGTGCACCCACGCTCACTGTTGATGTCACCACCACTCTCTCTTCTCTAAGGTATTTCTATCGTCCTCATCTTCCACACCTCTAGTATATTGCTGAACCATTCATAGCATCATTACAACAACATTCAACATGCTCCTATTTACACACATTTTAACCACACACATTACTCATTCACAACACACGACTTAATTATCCATAGTCATTGACATTACACGATACATAAGCACACATTCATTCGCACACACGGCACAAGTGCCCACACTCATTCACAGTATACGGCCCATGGACCCACATTCATCTACCACACACGACACACATGTCCATTTTATACACACAATATTTCAACATGCCATCTATACTCATTTCATCCACTTACATCATTCAAGAACACACAAACACACAAACACACCTATTCGCCTATATTGGGCTCAATCATTTCACTCATCACATTCAATATCAATTGCTCAACATGCTCATACACATTTCCTACAACCTATCTCAGTCACATCACAACATTCAACGAAATAAACGGTGAATTAAACACAATGAGATAGGGTAAAGTCCCCCTTACTTCAAATGAAGACCCACACGTAAAATCAGTAATGAGAAGGCTCCCCACACGAACTTAGTCCTAAATATACGAAAACTTCTCGTGAGAACCAAGAAAAATTGAGAAATAAGAGAATGTGGATAAAAAATCGAAACCATAACTATTAAAACTTACCTCCAAGCATTTTCACACAATTTCAACCTTCAATCTTACCTTCAAACGGCTTAGAGGTAATTTAATTGGTGAAATAAGGTTTTGAGTCGAGAGAATTGAAGGGACCTTAAAGAGAGAAAAGAAAAAAATGAGTTTCTCAAGTCCTAACCCCTTTAAATCTTTTCTGGTCTGATTCTGCAGAATCTCGTTATAATGAGACTGCACCTAGAAATGCAGTCCAAACTATGACTCTGTCGTTACAGTGACAAGGCGACAATTTCATACCTCACGCTCAGGGCCCTCTCACTACAACGAGAATGCCTTGCAACAACATCCATACTTAGCCTGTATACCTATATCCACATGCATATATATATATATATATATATATATATATATATATATATATATATATATATATATATATATACAAATCCATACATTAATAATTAAACTTTATTACAAAATTTGGAGTGTTACATGTAGTAAAAAAAATTTTAGCAAACACATTTGACAAGTAAAATGGGTTTGATTGGATAGGTAAACAAAAATAATATAAAGGGGAAACACCCCCACCCCATAATTTTAATTGGAAATCTAATAATTTTTTTGGGAGAAAGTAATCTGACTACAATAATTAGGGCATGCCCTCCAAGTTGCAGCTCGTCTCCTAGGAGTCATTACCCAAGCTACCTATAAATTTTTAAAACAATTAATGTTGGAATGTATCTAGACGTGTCTAAGATATATGTTTACCTTGTACATACTCAATTTCACAAAATGAAATACTCAAGTTTTAGAGATTGAAGAGGAAAAAAAATTCCTTATCACGAGACATGACTATTTTATATATATATATATATATATATATATATATATATATATATATATATATATAAGCACAAGACATCTATTGAAAACATCTTTATAAACAAGCAAAAAAATAAAAATGAAAAGATTTTATTCAAGAGAATAATATATAGCATTTTGAAATGACTACATTCATGTCCAACTGAAAACTTGGTTTAAAAAAAAGATAGGGCATGCATGTTCTATTGTTCCATATCTAAGCTAAGACTTATGCCTTCTGAAATCAATAATTGCAGCAGTATGTAAATTAAAGTTACTAAATATTTTCTCTTTTTCATTCTTGTAACGAAGTAATGTTGGGAAAAACAGCATATATTAATTAGGATCAATGATAAGAATGCACATAAAACACATTTCCAAAGAGTAATGGAAAGCACAAGATGTATGAGGTTTAACATGTTGTCTGCCTATGTTAAAGAAAATACTCCAACAAAATATTTATTACCTCAAATTAGGATTACAAGATTTGTGAAAACTTAAAAAATAAACCACCCTAAGTATATGTTAATTATCCTACATATCCAAATACATCATTCAAGAGTTATAAAGAATGATTAAAGTCCATTGACACTACTATATTTTCTCAAGAACAGTCAAGTTCAAAATTCATGAGCATAGCACTCTACTAGGTCGCTTTAAAAACTGCTTAATCTTTAATAGACAATTCTTGCCTACCATAACCAAGACAAGACTCAAAATTAAGTCAAGATGTTGCTTTCAAGAGCTTGAAGGCTCAAATGATTATGGTTTACTTTTTCTTCATTTGAGTTTGTTCTATTGCTTGAATTAAATTGAGAATGAATCGCTCATTATAAAAGTTTAATTAATTGATGAATTGGTGACCATACCACACATAATTAACATGATCATAGTAAGAGTAGAGTTTAGGGTTATAGAAGGAGCAATTCATAATTATTTTCTACCAATCAAATTAACTATAGGTTACCGAATCTCTTCATTATTATTAGCATTAGTTTCTATTGACTTTTCTGTATATATATATATATATATTATATATATATATATATATATATATATATAATGCTATCATCTAAAAGAAAATGAGAAATGGATGTGATCAATCAGAACGTACAAAACCAAAGCCCGCCTAACAAAGACCACATTATAATTCATTTTGTTTAAATGTGTTAAATCGTCTTAACGTACATTAATTTCTGCTTACATATACTCATGAAATTAGCTAGTTCAAACAAATTCTTCACCACACTTTACTAATTAATCAAATTAAGTTCTGAGCTCGAGCTATTTACAATTGTAATCATCACTTACATGGCATCCTAGCTATATCAAACTTACACTGTATACCCACATATATATATATATATATATATATATATATATATATATCATTTACTAATAAATAAAACGGTCAAGTATTAGAAGCCTTTATTAACATATTTTTTATAATAAAAAAATTATTAGTATACACTTTAAAAGTTTAAATTAGTGAATAATATAATATACGAAAATTTAAAATGTTAATAATATATATGAATAATTTTACTAACAAAATTATTCATTTATGTAGTACATTAGTATAAATTCATAATGTCTTAGCTATATCTTATATATACTTTTTTAGATAAAAAATGAATTAATATAATAATTTAATAATTATAATATTTTTATTTAAAATTAATTATGATTATACGTTTTTGGTAAAGTTTTCAAGTGATTAAACTTTTGTAGTAATATGATGATGAAATATATTTGTGGGTGTAGAACTCTGCTGATGTTCACTTAATTTGTTATATAAATAAGTATATATACTAATGAAATGTATGCAAAGCCTTCCTTTTTTTACTTTTCTTTTTGGAAAAAACAACCAAAAGGCTGTTTAATTTTGATATCAATGGCAGCTGCTTGATGTACTCAAACTGGACCAGCCAATATATATGAAACATTAAAACTCTATGACTATAGAATTTCCTTGACAACTCTTTATCGGTAGGTTATATTATTGTAAGGTAATTTCTGAAGCTTGGGGAATATATGTCCTAACACATGGAGCAAATTAAACCTCTAAACCTTTTGTATTTGAGAAAACTGAAAAATACTACCTAGTACTTCTAAGAGAGATTAAGAAAAAAATATTAATACACTTTTATCATTTTAAAAATAATTAATTGATCATTTTCTTAACTAATAGCCCCATGCCAGAGTACGTACTCATATGCCTTTCTGACTAAAGATGTCTTCTATTTCACTGATTTGAATTCCAAAACATCACTGACTAAACGGAAGCTTTAGGTGAGCAACTTTTTGATTCTACTTCCATCTTGATGATGCATGAAACTGACATGTTTTGGTGGTCCCAAAATTTAAAACAGTGTTTAGAATGCGTAAATTAGGCGAATTAAGCGTTGGGACAGGTGTTAGTGGGAAAAAGAAAAGAAGAAGATTGAACATACGACAGACACTGCGCGTGTCAACTCTTCAACTTGAATATCTAAATATTTAAGCGAATCCAGAAGTTAGTTTAACAGTCGAATTTTCGATTCCCTAAAATATTGTATTTATTTATACAATAAGCATTCAGATTATATAACCAAACTGCGTAATTAGCCCCTTTATACACGACATACACACACTTGAGGAGAAAATTAAACTAATAGAAAGAAAAACTAACATATTTTCTTTGCATTGTAGATAATTGGAGAGCATTTCGTTACTTCCTTCTAGCTTTTCTTTTCCTTCGTTCCCTTCTCCCCCAAAACAGGTTTGAAAAATATATACAAGACCATATTCAAAATACATCATACTATATATATATATATATATATAGTTGCTTTGACCATTGACAATATATATATAGAGAGAGAACACGTATAGATAATAATTAATGGCTTTATGGAAAAAGCAAAACACATTTGAATTGATCAACGTGTCTCGGCGAGGCATTGAAGAATGTTCACCTGCATTTGCAAACAACTTATATAGCTCTCCAGTTCTGCCACCATTTGTTCATTACACATTTCCTCTCCACCGGGTATCAACCTTCTTAGGCTCCTCAACTGGCCACTGATGATCTCGTCATCGTCATCAACTTCTCCTCTCAAACCCTTTTTCATTTCTGGAATGTCCTTGTACTTAGAATTCTTCAAACTAGGGGTTGAAGAGAAATAATCCAGTGCAACCATTTCATTTTGGTCACAAATCCTTGATGAATCTTCACCAGTCTTATTTTTTTCATCAAAGCTAGTAGTGTCACTATCTACTTTGACTCTATCCCTTTGAAGCTTGACACTTAGAGCATTGCTCCATGCAAAACCTTGGGCTGAGAACACCATTGCCATGTCCACTTCATACTTAACAACATTGTGAATATCACAATGGCTTCTATGTTCCGAAGAAGTAGTCCTATCTTTAATCTTGATCAAAGCTGGAACCAAATAGTTCATGTAGTTTCTAGCAAACGCTGCTTGTACCACTTTGTTGGGTTCAAGTGAGTAAACACGTCTACGTTTAGCTGGTTGACCCTCCATGTAATAATCCAAACACCCTTTTGTGATCAAAGTGTAAGGAAAAGAAGATGTAAGGATGATGAGTGATTACAGTAGTTAAAGGGAGGAAAACAAAGTAATGGGGTATGGTGAAATTGAAGCGAGGGAGAGAGACACAGAAAAATTGGTTGATTTTGTCAGCTATGCTAAAGAGAAAGAGGGCAAAAAGAAGCTTTTAGGAAATGGTGGTTGTGGTGAGATTAGTGTTGAAGAAAGTGGAAGTTATAGGCTTGATAAGGAAGTGAAGTTGAATAGGAAATAAAAAAATATATTATTTGCATGACATGAGGAGGCCCCATGCACTGAATAATTGGAGTGATAAGGAAATTGGTTTATAAATAAAAGAAGAGGAAGGAAGTATGGACGCAGGCACACGCACAAAAAGAAGTGAGTGAGATATGTGAGTGCAAAATAGTGGGAGTGGTCTATTTTGAGTGGCACATGGCGTCACATGCTTCTTGCTTTTCACAATGGAGTCTCTCCCATGTGCCACTACAAAACAAAGACACCAAAACCCCACTATAAATGCACCGCACATGACCCCAACCCTCTCTCTCTTTGCACTCCCACCCTCTCCCCTGCTTACAAGTTTTTCCCCCCTCATTTCAAATCAACCAGCTCACATCCTCCTTTTCCCACTCCTCCCTCCTCTCTCTCTCTACGTTTTTCCTTTTTAATTACCCTCTTCACTTTGTACTTTTATATTTCTCAATACATGTATTATTGTTAGCATGGAAGTTTAAGTTTACTCTTAATAGAAAGATTTAAAAGATAAAAATATAAAACTATAATCATTAGTAAAAAACTTTGACATATTAAATTGTAATTCTAGTCTTGTTATAGAGAAGTCAAATTCATGAAAGTTTCACCATTGTGACCCCAATACAGGTAAATTAACCTAACAGATGTGGTATATTCTGATAAGATGTATGTGACAGCTAGCTAGTCCCATAAACCGCCCACATTAAGAAAGTTAGGATTTTGAAAGGATAAACAAAATCCAAACCATATTGGCCCTACTCTAGTGGGGTGATTGCAGCGCAAAGATGATAAACCTAGAGTTGGGTAAGCAAAGTCAATAACTTGTCTTCATTGAGAAAAAGTGAAAGCAAAAAGGTTCATCTTCTGGTAGCTTGATAACTTAAATCAAATTTTGACCTTCATGTTTGGTAATATAATCACTCCTCCTATGAGAGCCCCACCTGATTTATATACTGTTTATTCCAAAAAGGAAACTAAAATGACAATGAACTAATTAAAGAATAAAAAAAAAGGAAGAAGAAGAAGAAGATCATGAAGAAAGTTAGCTCAAAGTCCTTTTGCTTTCAGAGGATCCTGGACCTGGTAGTTTCCAAGTCTGAGGCAAAACTAAATGCCAACCACCCTTTGGACATTTTGTGGGACAAGTTTGCATGTGCAAAAGAGTCTCAGAATTCAGATTGTTAGTATAAAGTACGGTTCTCATTCTCACAGTTAATAATTATTAATAGTGGTGTTATTCTACCTGATGCAGAAACAGAAAGACTAAGAATTATATATGAATAAATATTGTCAATTGCATGTATAATATTACCTCTCATACAGGATGACATAATCAACAGTAATTTGTTGGGTATGGCCTGTTGCCACGTCAAAGTCAATGATCAAAAGCAATACTGCAATTAGCCTTGGCAGGAAAGAAATCAGGTATTAACATTAATTGAATGCTAGCATAGTACTAGAGAACTGCATTGACGAGTCACACACAATTAATGGGTTAGTGAAAATTTGTCAGGGTGTTTGATTATATTGAATGATCTATGATGGGTGTGTTTGTGACGATGCACGAATAGACAACACAAATGCATGATGGTGCCTTGTAATAAAATCATATGTGATATATACATTATATCAGGAAAAAAATTAATACCATCAAGAAAAGACTGACGACAGAAAGACATAGCGGGAGAAGCTTTATCATTATTTCCATTCATACAACATATATAGATCATTGAAATGGAACAAGATTCTAACAGTTTCTCAAATGGGGTGTAAGCTTTGATTTCATCTTAATTTATATTGAGTCTTCTTATTGCCTCTTCGATCATTTTAGATACCATCTCAAGTGTTTGATATTCTTGAATAACGGGACATTATCAGAGAGAGATACAAAACTGAAGGAAAATGTAACTATTAGATTTTTCAATTAATTACGATAATTTTTCTTTTTCTAACAGGACCATATATAAATCTTGTTCAAGAGAGAATCTAAATCGAAACCAAAATTAACCTCTAGCACTAGTACATTTTTTACTATTTTTATCTTCCTTAATTCTTTGAACTGGGGCAGCAATCAAATCTCAAACTCTTAACCCCGGCATTAATTAACCAGAACCTTAGAAGCAAACAATTACCACTAAGATTTAGAGGCAAATTAATAGATAATAGACAGAGTATCTAATCACCAACAAATGAATAAACATGTAGCTAAGATATTTTTCAACAATATATGTATGGTATAATAAATAAATAAAAAAAGGATTAAGGAGATATGGTTGGATATGGAGGGACAACACATGGGGACATTACTCACGTAGTTGGGTTTTGTACTTTAGCCTAATTTGGGAGTATAGTGGAACAGTGACATCACGTGGAAACTTGTACAGGGTGACATCTTTGGTGGGAACAGTTACAGCAAATTCTAGCTCAACTCAAAATCATGCAGCTCCTAATAGCCCTCTGCACACTATAGGCACAGAATGCTCCACGGCATCTACTTCTGAATCACAAAGCTGTCTGTACGGACACAACCTTTTTCTTGGTGGAAGAGATCGAGAACGACAAGGCCACACTTTGTCACTCGCTCAACGCTGCTGGTGATGTGAGAGTGAGAGGCCACAAAACCAACACCTTCATTTTCCTCTCTTCAATTTCACTTCTCACACACACACACACACACACACCCCCTCTTTCAGTGCCACACGCACCCCCCATATTTTACAATTGTCGTGGTAATTGGTTTACAAATATTTTAGTTGTATTAATTTTATTTTTTCTCTCTTTAGTTTTTTTTATTATGTTATATTGTTTGTTATATATGTTTTAATTTTTCTTCTAATTATCATTTCTCTTATACCCTCGAGTATTTATCAACTAATTTTTTTGTCTGAGCATTATATTTTAAGAGTTAAATAATTTGATTTTTTTACCTTGATCCAATGAAGTATCGACCCATGTAGGCTGATGTATGCCGACCACTGGCCGTTTATATTGCTATTTTTCTATAAACATTATAAAATAATTATATTTATCAACTAAAGATGATCACAATTGTATTGATATCGCTTAAGTAAAATTTTATATTTAAATTTTTATGTATATAAAATATTTTTAATAATAAACTTACTTACTACATCTAAATATATAATTTAAATCAGATTTAAATTGAATTGAATAAAAAATAATTATATTAAATTTTTACATGATTAAGATGATTTAAAATTATAACTTGAAATGCTTAAAATCATTTAAAATGTTTGTTGCAAATTTATTGAATGGATTGAATATATATATATATATATATATATATATATATATATATAATAAATTGTTATATTTGTAAATTTTAAATATTTTATTATTTTAACTAAATAAATTTATAAACTTTCATTTTATAATATTTAGATAGACAAAATTTTAAGTCCTTACATAACATACAATTAATAAAGTCTCCAGCAAACTTTAGAACTAGTTGACTGTCCTTTTTGTTTCTCTGTGTTAGAGCAAAAACTTCATTCTAATATCATCATTTAGAAGAACCATTAACTTGAATACTAGTTGTTAGGACCTTCAAGGAGGCTTAAATATTGCCGAGATTTTTATCTATGGGCTACAAGTAGAGCTATTAATTTAAGGTTCTTAGCCACAACCTTACTTGTTAATGCAAGTCAGACTAAAATAGCCTATTTAAGTTTCTAAAATGATAGTACAAGCTTAGCCATTTGCATGCAATGAACTAAGCTTGTATGAACGACCTTCTTATAATATGTTATTTTTTAAAGTTTATTTTAAAATACGTTAAAGATAAATAATTATGTTAATATAATTTTTTAAGCACATTAAAATTTAAAAACTAACAAATATTATCAATCACTTTATTCAACAAAATTAAAATACATTGTTGCAAAAATTTAAGAAAAATATTCTAACTAGTCTCTCAATTATTTAAAGCTTTATATCTTTAATTGCATTTATCTTTCATTGTCATCATTTATAATATAATATAAATATTACTTAAAAATATATTCATTTAAAAAAACTTCTAAATTTTTTATCTTTAAAAGCACTTACCTAAAAATGAAGAAACAAAAAAATAATAACACATATTTAATGTAATTTAACACCTACGTCCACTGACTTTTCAACCTAATTTTATTATTTTATAAATTTTATTAAATAAAATTATGAATTTAAAAAAAAATTAAAAATTCGTACTTAATATACAACTACTTAAACAATTACATTTTATTATAATAAAAAACATAAAATAAATTCTCATGTTACATTATAATACACCATATATAGTCCGACTCACTTCTTTTGCTTATAACTACAATGCCGGATAATGACTATACCTTCCTATGTTCCACGAGACAATAATCATCAACATATAGGGTGCACTTGGAAGGTTGGATCTATAACAAAAAAAAGAAAAAAAGAATGACAGTAGCAAATTGATATACACTGTTCTATGCTAATAAGATTTAAATTGTGAAAATAAAATCATTTTCAAATTTTATCAAATCAATTTGCCAGATTCTATATGGCTTAAATTTCCCAATGTTCAAAGGTCTTGATGAGCTTAAGCAAGTCAACAGCAGAACTGACACAGAATACAATGAACATAAAGTAACTTGCACAATACCCTTTTAATGCAAAGTTCAGCAAAGTGGGGGGAAAAAACTTTAAATGCTAATTCCAAATTCAATACAAGATGATTCTGC